TTGAAATTGTCTCTGTCCGTCATTCGTCGGTTTGGAAACGTTGGGAAGGAGTGGAGAGTGTTAGGTCCACGCTCCAGTGTCTCGTGGAGTTTACTTCTCATCTACGGTTTTAGAATTTGTTGGTGTATAGGGACGGACGGTATGTGCACATTAGAGGTGCTTCTAATTGCGGACGTGATGCGGCGCACGACCCGCGACTTCGATGCCAACAATAATGATAACGGTGTGCGCAGGGGCGCCCGCAGCGTGTGCCGCAAGCTATTCGCCTGCGAAGACCCGACCGCCGATAGGAGTCGCCTTCTCCGCAGAATGGAAGAAGAGATCAGGAGGCAAGACAGCGATCGATGGAATTTTGATTTTACAACTGAGACGCCCCTGCCCGGGAGATATCAGTGGGTGAGGGTAAGCCAGGAAGTTAGCGCCCCTGCATCGTCGCAGACGGTGGTGGAAGAATGTGTGCCGTCAGACTCTGCGACGACGTCGAAGACTTCTCAAGTCGGGCAGCGAAAGACTACGTGCAGGGCGGAACAGCTGAAAATAACTGGTAAGTAGATTATAATATTTTAAACAAACAAACAAACAAAAATAATAATTAAAAAAAATAACTTGCAATTTCCTACTGGAATCTAATATCTCAAAAAAAGGTATTATGAAAAAAATTAATAAATTGAAATATTAATAAAAAGTAAGGAATAGAAATAAAAAAAGGTGTGAAAGGACTTAGATTTTAACGATCTCCCGAAAGGTCTCTTTCAGAGTGAAATATGGTTTATCAATAAACATGGCCTAGATGGAATAGCGAAACAATGTATAGGATGCTAGATGAATATACATTAAGACTTAACGAGGTAACGTTATATATCTCTTCTGTATATTGGAGAAGAGAATAAATGTATAATATAATTTTGTAAAAACATGTAATGTTTTAATTAGTTAAATTACGAGTTATGGTCATTTTTAGTTAAGTCAGATTGGGGGGGGGAACTTTAAAACTACATCTATTAGTTTTAAATAGTTTAGTTTATTAATCAATAACAGACAAATTAAATCCGAAAGCTGAATATTTTAAATTTTTTCGAACGGCAACAAATCCAAACAAAACGTGAAACAACTCATTTACTGTGGAGGACATTTAAAGTGAATCGTATTTCGAAGGTAATTGCCCTTTCGGCTTATAAATAAAAACAAAATAAAATTACAAGAAGATTTTAATAGTAACTAAAATTAAAGTGGTGTGTGTTCTTTAATTCAGCTTAAACTAAAATATACATTTCAAAATTATGTGAGCGGTATTAAACATGAAATTATGGTTTGATACCTCGAAGAAATTAAAAAATATAAATAATAATAATAACCATACAAACAAATCTGCTTCTCTTCTTATGTCAAAATAATACCTATCGTTGACTCATGGGAAATAATGTTGATTGTTGAACAACATTAAAACTCGATTCTGCGTCAAAGAAATCTACCAAACAAGTCGAAAAGAATTTCGTGTTTAGAAGTATCGTGTATGTATTTCTTTCTGCAGAGTAAATCGTTATTGTCTTTAAAATAACAAAGTATTAAAATATAGCAATATTCTGTGATTATAATTTGAAATATATTCATTCCTCGATTTTATTTTAGATGTTTACAAACGATGTAAGTTTTGCAATCCTCTGCTTTTATTTAAAATACAGATGCCATGAAATAACACTTGCTACAAAAAATGCGAATAAAATGATTTTTAGATTATTATTGCTACATTAATATCCAAGATGAATAAAATATGTTACGCAGCGTTGATTGGCAACAGTATGCTTTTATATTTGCAATCCGTGTTTGTTGTCCGTATCCGTAGATTTTTAGCGTTAGAGAAGTTGAAAAAGTTTTCAGTGCACTTTTTTTCAGTTACACTGTGAATCATTAGCATCAGGTAAAAAAAAAAAAAAAAAAAAATCTAAAAAATAAAAAAAAAAAAAAAAAAAAAAAAAAAAAAAAAAAAAAAAAAACAAAAAAAAAAAAAAAAAAATCTGAAAGGTTTCAGATTTTAGGACGTTTTTTAACGTTTTGGGTGTTTACCTTCATTTATTAAATATCATGTTCTTCGCCACTTAGATACCATAAATTCAATCGTTCAAGAGGGCTATATTCACGCAAAATATAATTTTTAAAATAATGAATTATCCTTTAGAATGTTTTAAACAATCTCGCGCCGCTTGAAATTAAAAAAAAAAAAAAAATTGTACAACGTTGCCATTGCTTCGCTTGATTAATGCCTTGATTTTGTTAATGCATAAAATTCGATAGAAGATTTTGACAAAATATGAAATAGATAATAAACACATTCCAATATTGGTTTCCAGATTAAATATTCGATGGAAACTAAACGTTATTCAAAATTTGATGGTCTAGGTACTCGTTTTTTATCACAATGCGAGAAACGTGCATACATTTATGCAGATTCTTCATTATTTAATTTCTTCAAATATATTACAGGGCTCTAATATTTGGTGGCAACAATTTGGAAAGTAAACCCACATTTATAGTGAATCAGCGCAAAATGCCAAAACGAAATCACTAGTCCTTCTGGGCAAATTGCCCTTTTGAACTAAAAAAGAAATCACGTCGAATTCATTCAGCTTATCAGAAGAGCCCATGCAGGCTTAAAATTCAGGTCAAGTCCATCAGAGTCCTAAATGAGACGAGCTCCGGTGATATTTCTCACGAAATGTTTGAAGAAACTAAACATGCTATTTGTGATCCTAAACTGATTGAAATGCTCATAAGATACTTTTCTTTTACTGGCGGTTTTAAATATTGCTAATTTTCTGAAAGTCCGTTTGTTTTAATTTGATTTGATTTTTAGCGTTTCCTTAAACAGTTTATTCTTAGAATTTATCATTTAATTTATGCCATTTGCTTCTTTAATGATACATTTTAATTATATTGCTGCTTTATTTACCCGTAGAATAGTTTTAGTTTATTTTAGATATTAAGCCTTGACAAGGAACGCCAGTGCTAAATGTAGCAAGCAGGTTTTCCCATAACAAATGCGTTGATTCACAAAGATCGGAAGTTGTTTGTTAATCGAGAGTTGCTTAGTTTCTCTAATAGTTACTTCTGAAAGATAATTTTTAACTTATCTTTATCTTTCAGAAGTATCTTTCATCTTTTAAGATCCTCATGCATATATAAATTGAATGGCAGAACGTTTGAAAATCGGCTGTTTGTAAGGTTGTATAGAGGATACTTTTAAAAAGTTATGCTTGATTTAATGGCAGCACTTACTAAGTTCCCTTGAATAATAATTAAAGGTAATGTAACGTTAAAACATTTGGAAAAATTCAGTTAAATATGTTTCCAACGTCAGTATCTATTTACTATTAACGCCAGTAACTGCTAGTTTCTGTGCATATAAATGCCGTTTATATGCACAAAATGTTATGTGCTTAGCGCAATTTTCTGCCGAACATTATCAGAAACTCACCGTATGCAGCGCATCACATTCTTAAACAATATACCGCATTATCAGAAAAACTTATGGTAATACAAGCGCACGCTAAGTCCTTCATCAGTAACAACAAACTTGTTTATCGTGCCTCGTGACTAAAATTGCATCACGTGTGCATCGAAAATAAAATCAAGTGATAATTATAAAATTCTTCTGTAACATTTACTAGACAACATTTTTTTTTTTTTTTAAATATCTATTCGCGAATTAAAATGCTTTATATTCAGAAAAGAAGTTAATGTAATCAAGGTCAAATCCTTTAAAATTGAAATACTTTTCGAGTTAAAATTTCAATTCCTGTTTATTTGCACGTTTATTTTTTCAAGTAGTTATACATCTTTTTAAAAACATTTTTATATTTTTTCCTTAAACCATTTTAGTCGCAAAAAAGGGCGGAACAAAACGTTAGAACTTAATAAATTGAAACTCGTATCTAAGTGTTCTGTTCCAGTGTTAGTAAATATTTCTCCCAGTAAAAGAAAACGATTTCCGTTTTGTATAGTTTAGGTAATATGTATCTCGCAGATATTTCATATAATTAAAAATGACAAATTGTTGACGCATTCCCATATTTTACAATGCACGACTGTAAAGTATATGTGGGATACAATCTATCTCGTTTGCAAGTTGTAGTTGTTATTATTAACGCCTCGAAGAAATGTTATTGTTTCAAGTTAAAAGTCTAACTGTTACAAATAAAGAGTTGAAACATGTCGTTGCCAATCGATGATACGTGAAATCTTTTATTTATTTTAGGTGTTTATATTATTTGAATTTCCCGGTACATTAAGACATAAGTGTTATTATACAGGATAAGTTTAATTTTAAAAATATAAGTTTTTATTACCTTTTATAAGTCTATTGTAGGTTTTTGAAATTCTAGTTGCATCTTCTGCCCCAACTGCCAAATATCTGATCGCGTTTTTTTGGGGGGAAAGCCAGATATTTATTGTAAACAAAGTATGGATATTGAAAAAAAATCATTGCATCCAAGCGATGTGAAATTCTCTATATACACAGTAATTAAGAAAAAAAAAAAAAATGTAGAAAATCGCGTCATGAAATTTATATTTTGATACGTCATGTTTTAAAAGAAGGTAAAAAGTTAGTTTTGACGAAATTTCAAGGCATTGTTAAGTTATATATTTTCCTGATGTCAGAATTAAAAAATAGCGCATACACACTAATTAAAAAGCAGATTAAATTTTGAAAAATCGATAAATTACGATAGGAATTCGGAGTAAACTTTATTTAGATTATTACTTTTCGATCTGCATGATAAGTGTGACAGTTAAAAATTCTGCGATATAAAATTCGTAAAAATTCGCTTTAGCGTTAAATAAATAAATAAAATGTAAATCTAATTTTAAAAGTAGCTTTTGTCCTTTCTGCGCAGCACAGTACGTGGAACAACTTCAACTATTATGATAGCAATATACCCTTTCTTCACACAAAGGAAAATATTTACTTAAGGCATATATATAATTAGAAAAGTCCATAGAAATACCAAGGAAAAATAATTGCAACACTGAAAACTTCAGCTTAACAATTAGGCTGAAAAAAGGAATGTGCCATTAAAACTTTTTAAATACAAATTAAAGCAATATGTACTGTTGCCATCTTACGAAACTTTATTATTTATTTTGAAAGCACTGCCATTTGTTTCTGATTTTTCGTGTATGCAGTATGATGTGAACAGGAGTATGTCAGTGCATTTAAGAAATACGTAACATAATATGTATATAAATGTTATACGTAACACTATTACCATAAACTCTGTGTTACTATAAAATTCTAGCGTCATCATTAGATTTTATTTTGGATGTATTTGGCGGCCACGTACGTAAGAAGTAGAGTTAGAAATATTGCAGTTGATATAGATTAGAATGTTAACAACTTATTTCTGACGCTCATGATATAATAAACATTTGTTGCAAAATGTTGTTAAGAAATTCTGATAAAATGGACTTTTAAGTGATAAACTTTTTGTTTTGCTGATGAGCAAGTGTTTTTTATAACATAGAAAATAAATGAAAGATCTTATGCAT